TGAAGGCAAAATCTAAGAATTTAACTTTGTAATTTAATATAGAAGCCAAATTGGATACAAAGCTCTGTAATAAGTCCTAAAGTAAAATACAAAGATGAATTAAGAATTTTTGAAAGAAGATCAACTTTGCAGAAAAAAGCACTATGTGTGACAGTAGCATTACAAAAGATTTTACTACTAAAAGTATTGCACAGATAAGTTCTATCAAGATAAGATAGCATCAACATCTTTGTACCTAACTTGCAGAGTACTTGATTAGAAGAGTAATATTAATGTAGTTAAAACTGAAGTGATGAGCAAAGTAGTATATACAAAGAAGATCTGTAATAAAGGATTGGTCTAACCAAATTGGAACGTCTTAGACAGATACTATAAATCTTTAAGAAGCAAGACTATAGTTGTACATTACAACATCATTAATGATTACCATATTTATATATAATAAGTCAAGGTTTTAGGCCTGTTTATAATACCAAATTGAAAGTACAATAGTATGACAACTATGGGAATATATAAAAAAAAGAGTATGTAATAGCTGCAAATAACAATTCAGAATCTTGATAAATCTAGCTGTACTGATTAGTACCAATATATGAAGAGCTGTATACACCAAATTGGTAACAAGAAGAGCAAAAAACCACTAAAGTTAACCAATTTAGGAGAAGAGATAAGTTACTGTAGAGGGACTATGGTTAAGTAGAATTAGAGAATATAGTATTACAAGGTGACTACAACCTTATCTTAATTAGTAACAATAGTTAAAACACTATAGTACTAGTCTTAATTTAGAAAAGTATAGATATAATGTTATGTTGGGTATCTATATAGTAATATAGTAGTACAAATAAAATGTAATAACTCTAATATATTAATTCAGTATTAATTAAATAAAGTATTACAATTTGCATTATAAAAAAAAAAAATTCCAACTTTTGAACTATTTATATATCTAAATCTATATAACAGAAATTCAAAATTTTATATTAATTTATTTTGTACAAAATGTTATTATATCTTAGAAGATGCTTATTATATGCTAACATGTCTTTACAACTAAATAGAACTAAAAAAATAATAAAAGAAGAATAACTAAAATTTGTAAAAAAGATAAAATCAAAACAGTTATATTAACTAATTTCACTCAAAAAATTTAAAAGTGTGATAACTTAGTGAAGTAAATAAGTTGTTATTTTCCAAATAGTAGGTTATAAGTTCAAAACCTACTAATAGCAAAATTTAGATAAACATTTATGTAATATATAGACAGTATTATAGTGATAGCATTCTGTCAATTAATCAAAAATAAGATATCTGTAACTATGGCTGCATTAGTATAATTAGCAGATCTGAGACATTTATGTAACCTTAGTTACACAGAAGAATGCAAACTGATATCAGATAGTGCAAATCTAAAATAAGTACTTATAGTTATATAAATCTATAAAACTGTAAAGTCAAAGCTTATTTGAAAATTTTAAGTTAAGAGGTAATATAGATCTTTAATAATACTACTATAAAGGCTAATCATAGAAAATAGATACCAATGTAGAAAAATTGAATAGGCAAAAACCTTGGGTAAAAGATACTACCAACTAGGTTATTAAATTTTGGACTAAAGAAAAAGGTTATTGGCTAGCCTTAATATACTAAAAACAGATTACAGTTCTTTTAGACTATATGGATTGGAAGTCTGAGGACAAAAGCAATGATATACTAAAAGTACTAGAGATATGCTGTAAAGTTAGTACTAAGATCTAGATAAACTCTATAAGGGTAGCTCTTGTTAATATTCTAAAAGTAGATAGATAGTTAATAACAAAAAGCTTTCTGCACCTTACTAGCAGATGATATACTCTGAAATATGTAACAGTTTAGGAATTAGTACAAAAAGAATGGATACCATACTGTTCAGATGGTATATCAGTTAGATATATATAGAGAGTTAGTTAGTATTAAATCATAACAAAAGCAGATGATCAGTAAGTTTAAATAGATAATCTCTTAGTAGGTTATAGATATAGTATCTAATATAGAATCTAGAGCAAACTATTTAAATAGACAACTAAAATCAAAACAGTTATATTAACTAATTTAATTCAAAAAATTTAAGAGTGTGGTGACTTAGTAAGGTAGATAAGTTGTTATTTCCTTAAGTGGTAAGTTGTAAGTTCAAAACCTACTGATAGTATAATTTAGATAATTACCTATATAATATATAGATGATATTATAATGACAGCATTCTGTTGATTAGTTGGAATAGAATATCTGTAACTATAATTATGCCAACATGACTGACAGGTTTGAGGAATTTGTATAATCTTAGTTAGACAGAAAAATACAAATCAGTACCAGGTGATGCAAACCTAAAATAAGTTTTTAGATTATATAAATCTATAAAACAGGGAAACTGAAGCTTACTTAAAAATTTTAAGCAGAGAGGTAACACAGATCTTCAATAGTACTAATATAAAGGCTAAATCTAGAAAATGGATACCAATATAGAGAAATCAGACAAGCAAAAATCCCAGATAAGAGGTACCACCAATTAGGCCACCAGATTTCAAACCAAAAAAAAAGAATATTGAACTGATCTTAATATACTAAGAAAAAGTTACAATTCTTCTAGACTATCTGAATTAGAAGTCTGAGTTCAAAACAGAGATATACTAAAAATACTAGGAATATGCTGTGAAGTTAGTGCTAGAATCTGAATGAATGCTATAAAGGTAACCCTAGTTAGTGTTCTAAAAGTAAGTAGATAGTCAATAATAAGAGACCTTCTGTGTCTTACTGGTAAGTAAAATACTCTGAAATGTATAACAGTTTGAAAACCAGTACAAAAAGGATAGGTATCATACTGCTCAGATGGTATACCAGTTAGGTATATATAAAAAGTTAGTTGGAGTTACATCATAGCAGGACAAATAATCAGAAAGTTTAAATAAATAATCTTCTAGTAGATTATAGGTACAACATCTAATGTAGAATCTTAAAATGGACTACTTAATACTTAAATAGGCAACCAAAAATTGCACACATGACTAGTTGTACTCTCATCTCTGTAAAAATAGTTATAATCATAAACCCAATAAAAAGTTAATAAAAAAAAAATATATAAACCATTTATATATATTAAAAAATTTATATTAAAATTATCATAGCAATATAACCAATCTTAAACTTTTAAAAATGAAATTGATTATACTTCCTAATACTTATCACCAAATTATAAAAAAAATATAAACACATATAAAAACTAAGCAGAAAAAATTCTTAACAACATATCTTTTTTCTACCAATTCATATTAATAACAATATAGATCCTACATATAACTTCTATAAATAGATAATACACAATATGACTTAATAGATTTATACAATTTAATTAAACATCTTTTCTCACTAAACTTATAAATAAGAAGTTAGTTTAATGTATCAATTTGTACTAATGTACTTAATTATATATTACTAAATAAAAAACTAAAGGAAAAACCTTTCTTTAAAAAAAAATACACCCTACATTAAATCTATAATAACTACTAAAAATTCACTTGTACTTATTAATAAAACTACCTCTAAACCCTAACCTAACTCAAAAAAAAGCTAACTAAAAATTTTCAATTTTAATATTAAAATATTTAAAATCTCAGCTTCGGATGCCACAGTAATTATAAATGCCGATAAAATAATTTTTATCACTTACTAGAATCTAAGTGTGTATTTTTTCAAATTACGTTAAGTGTCATTAATTTAGATAGTAAGCATATTACAAAAGATCGATGCAAAAAAAAAAAAAATTAGGATGAAATTATAGGTTGTATTATACGTAAAATCTGGTAGAGAATAAGTATGGCATAGTAAGAAACGTTTAGTAACCAGATTAAAGACTTTACTAACGATTTATACATTCTGTTTCACTATCATTAAATATCAAAGATTACATTACTTTTCAATTTCTTATGCAACTTCATTAAATGCAACAACCAACTATCTTATGACCAAATCCTACTCTTGGCAATTTATTAAACATCGCTATTCATATTCCCATATAACATATTAGTTATAATTAATTATTCGAATATCTGACTATCCGGATATACTTATCACCCTGGCGAACCTACCTAATCATTACCCGAGTATAACAAACAAGTACAAAACAAAAATTATCGTTCATGTGATATGATCGTATGAATTTCTTTGCCCGATATTTTTGGCACATTCGTCTATGCAAAATATCACGACAAAAAATTTCACATGCTAGTAGGACTGTGAAAGATCGATAATATGCACCAATCAGATGATCTACACTAATCAAAACGATCGAATTTTTAGAAACCTTTGTGGTTTCATAGAGTGTCGATTGTATTAAAAGATCTGATTGGTGCACATGTGACGATCTTTCATGTTCATACTGGGGTAGCTAATACAAACGATAACATTTATATTGGTAGGGATGTTAATTGGTCTCGCAGTAATTGTCAGCCGACTTTGAGCACGATTGGTAAAAACTTGGTAGTTTTGACTAGTCTTCGTTTAATAAGTAAACTAATAGAAAAAGTTATTTCTCTACAACAGTCTCTAATAAAAGGTTTATCGGGTTTTGCATTGGTTTCTGTGTAATCTAGATGAGACCTATTAGGGATCGATCAACAAAATTTTCTCCACACTGTTCGGTCCCACCGATAAATTTTTATTGGACTGTTATAGGGAAATAACTTTTCTATAACTTTACTTATTGAACGAATACTAGTTAATACAATACCAATTTTTTACAAATCTTACTCAAAGCGGCTGACAATTACTGCGGGACGATTAACATCCCTATATATTGGTAATACGAAAATAGCAAGAAATTTTTCTATCGGAGTTAATTTAATTCGTGTGTTTCTATGCAGTACATGGAAGTGACATTAACTCGAAAATGTCTTGTTATTTTTCATCGTATGACCAATATCTTATACGTAATGGCTGTAAAGCAATCCAAAGAATAAACGTACCTTTATTTTTGTTGCTTCTTAGAAATAGCAATTTCTCTGGATTTACGTAATTCTTCATGATATTGCGTAATATCTATCAAATCAAATCTACGTCTTCTTGGTTCGGTAGGCGGTCTTGGTAATTTATCGTTTGGATCTAATACAACTCCAATATATTTTTTCTTACGTTTGGGGTCAATATAGAATTGCACCCATCCTGGTTGTCCTGCGTGCAAAGTGTGATCCCTTCCCATAATCACCTATTATTATTATATGGGAATTATTTTGATTGAATTCTGATAATTAATTAAAACTAGATTAATGAATACATTTTCTCCCGGATGATATTTAGTTCCTCGTTGTCGAACAAGGATGTTCCCGATTTCAACAAATTCACCTAATAACACGAACATAAATTTTGAAATTTTTGCAGTGGAATAAAAGTTTAAACAGAAATAATTCGGGGTACCTCCAAATTTTTTTAAACCTAGCCTTTTACCAGGGGAATCCCGACCGTTTTGACTAGAACCACCCGCTTTTTTTGTGGCATATCTTTGTTTAATAATACTAAATTCTACTGATACAAAAATAACATTCACAATTAT